GTATAAAAGGAAAAAAAAAAAAGTAAGATGAGAAGAAAGGGAAATGCTCAGTTAAAATATATCTTCTCTTCCAGGTAGCTACAGTTTAGCTAAGGGAAATAAAGCATTAAAACCATCCTAGAAGTATTAATTTTTTTATACTTTTTTTTTTTAAAAGCATCCTGGAAAATTCAGGGTACCTGTTATGTAGGATAAGAATATCTACTATTATTAGGACTACTTGTAGTTTCTCAGTACTGGAGCCTGTATTCAGATACATAAGCTATGTGCAACTTCATCAAACATAAAATGGCTGATATTCACCATACCAGTTTTCTGCAACACGTTACTTTTCACAATTAAATTTTAGCCAGCATGGTTTACTCAGTCCTGAGACTCTGAAATTTGGCAAGAAGATGAGTTTTGCACCAGGTGGTTGCTTTTTAATATTCCTATGAAATCTGTTCACATTTTTTAACTGGAAAATTTACTTGGAGATTTTATACTATATAAATTTCACTCCAGCTTCAGACTTCTACCAGACAGGAAATTAAAGAGGTGTAGATCTGGATTAGGCATTTGAGTATGTTAACATTCTTCCATTTTGCAAGCAAATGATGACGGAAACTTCTAGAATTTCTTTCTCAATTACTCTTAACTTTTTTAATGGTAACCTGACTTTGGTACTATTTACCAAAATTATTTGTCAGAATAACATATGGGACCCTAATGTTTAAGCCTTAGTAAAGTCAAGACGTATCACATGTATTGCTTCCCTCCAGAGTAGTTAGCCTATCATAAAATGGAAATGAGGCAATTTTCCTATAGTCTCTTCTCAGAAATCCACCTTGATAGTTTCCTGTCACTTTATGATTCTCTCTATAATTACCTATTATTTATTTAATAATCTTGGTGATTATGTAATAATCTTTTTTTATTTTTCTACTATCAAAGTTGGGCCTACAGGTCTATAATTCTCTTTGTCTCCCCTTGACCTCCCCTTTTTAGGAACAAAAAATCTCCCAAAAGCTGCTGTTTTCTCTTTCTGTAATCTTACACATCTACCTTGACTTCTCAAACATAACTTCCACTAGCTCCTAAATACTGCAAAAACTAACATTTAAAAATATTTCAACAACCTTCCTTCCATATTCTAGTTTGTGTTTATAACCCCCTGATCTTACTTGTAATGTAGGATGTAATTTTATTTTGATAACTGGAGAAAACAAAGAAGTACATAATCTATCCTTCTCATTCGCTATTTGCTCAGTTTCCACAGTAAACTATGAATTATTACTTGTCTTCTTGCCTTCAGCTCTCTCCTACTGCTAAGTATTCCGAAATACTCTTTTTTGTCTTGTTTTCATGTCTTTTTTATTTAGTTGTTAACCATTAAGAAAAGACAAAAGCAAGTATCTTTCTGCATGTTAACTCTTAAGAAGTGTGTGTATAGTCAACATGCTCCATCTGGCTGAAGAACACACAGGTTTAAGAGCCCCCCACCAAAGGGACACACAAAGGCATATCTAGCTCAGAGAATTTCCAAACTGCTGATTCGAGAAAGAATTGACCACAGTCCATATAAACTCCACATCAATGTCACAATCCATGAATACTCGATAGTCAACCTCCGTCTTTCAAAACAGTCACAGAGCTACTCCATATAGATCCGTTTACATGCTATGGTGCAATTTCAGAATTTTTAAGAATCTCTTTAAAAAAATAAGTGTGATTGCTTACAGAAATGAAGTGATGAAATTACATATGTATGCAAGCATGCAATTTTTACCCTTTTTGTCAAAGAGGTGAACACCTCAAAGGAGCTGAATTTCCAGAAGTGTGGCACAAGTTGTTGGCAGGGATTGGGAGAATTCTTATCACCCTGCAGGGAAGTGAAGGCACAGAGTGCAATGTCCTTTCCTGCCTTGATCAGCAGCCAGCAAAGGGCTCCTTGGCCACCCATTATACATGGGTTATCTAAACAGGCAATACATACCCGCCTACAAACCAGTTGCAGCAAGTTTTTCCCCACTGTCAGGCTGGATAAAAGCATGGTGGGATTTGTCAGTATAATGAGTGCATTGCAATGACTTCTGGGGGATTTCAAGGAGTTGAAGTTGAGTTATTACTGGAAGTATTAAAGACAGAGTAACTGCAGGGAAGTATGGAAGTGGGAAACTATGAGGAAAAGTTGTAGGTAATAACCCTATTATAATCCCTTGATAACCCTTTCAGCAAAGAAAGTTTTCCTAATATCAAACCTGAACCTCCCTTGGTGCAATCTGAGGCCATTTCCTTCTGCCCTATCACTTCTTTCTTGTGAGACAAGACCAGCACCCACCTCTCTACAGCCTCCTTACAGGTAGTTGTAGAGAGTGACTCAGCCCCCTTTTGTCCAGGCTAAACAACCCCGCTCCCTCAGCCACTCCTCTTAAGACTTTTTCTCTAGACCCTTTCCCAGCTTAGTTGCCCTTCTCTGGACGCACTGTAGCATCTCAAGTCTGTGAAGAAGCACTTGCCTTATAATTTACAGAATGAGAAAAAAACACCATTTCTAACTAGTCACCAAGATGCGAAATAGAATTCTCAAATGTGATTTTTCTTGCCCAAGAATTTGTAAGCATATAAAATTAGACTTAATTCGGAAAATTCTTTTGCAACCTTAACTCTGCTGGTTACTGCCAACTGAACATGTGTCACCTGTATCAAGCTTTATTTCACATGTAGTGGCTCATTTACTCAGGAAAAATGAAACTTCTATTATGTGATGACATTTTCTGTTTTCCATTATTGGCTGCATTTCACCATACAGCACCGTCTGGCTCTGACGAGGCAGATACTGTACTATACCATGGGTATTAGTGTTGGTTACTTCTTGACTAATTCTGAAGTCTAAGTAATAAAACCATTTTGGTGGTGAGCATATACCTGACTAGATACACCACTTACCTGAAGTGGAGAGGCTGCATAGCTGTATCCCAGTCCCACTTAATGTGAAATTCTAATGAGCACATTGCATGGTGCAGAGCCAGTTTTAAAAGGTATAGTCACTGATAAATCCTCAGCTACTTAGTATCAGCCCCTCCTCTGGCCTTTAATGAGCTTTTCCTGGTCTCTCCCAATATTTATACCATGTATCTGCATACATATCTACATACACGCTCAGAATTCACTATGAACCGATCACATATCATTTTCCATCTGATAATTTCAAGGTAACTCACAAATATTGATTAAAACTTCACCAATTACAAGGTGTTTTCATTACAGCTATGCAGAAGAATACTTTTTAAAGTTTTAAGAAATCTGTCCCCTGGACAAAATTTGCTGTAAAATTATCATTAGGACTCACTTTTATCATTTTTAAAGATAATAACATTTTCATTAAAATGCTAAAATTTACTGTTTTTCTATCTAAAGAGAAAAATACAGGGAAGTCTAATTAAATACAATTGAAGTGAGCATAGAAATAAAATTTTTTTTTAAAAATCATTCTTTTTACAACAGAAAGAGGAATGATGCAGTATTAAGAAAGTGGAATTCCATTGCAAGTGATGCAATTGGAGCCTTTGGCCAATCACACACATCAATTATCTAATGATTTCATACACAGACTCAGAAATTCAGATTATGGTTTTTGCACCAATACGGTCTTCCTCTCTGACCTCACACAAGTTACAAGAGCTCTCTGCAACAGATGATCATGGATACAATGATGAGAGTAGTCCTCTTCTGTCTCCAAGGAGTACTGTGAGAAATGAAGTGGAAATGACCTGCTACTATAGTTGGACTACTATAGTATTGTACCTTTTGTAACAGATAATGTATCTTTTACAGTAAAGCAAATAGATTGCTCAGGTTAAGTTTGCTGATGAAATACTGAATAATTTAGTATTATAGATGTACAAAGAAAGACATACTGCATTTGTTGTAACTTTATGGTAAACAAGGAGGGTTAGAGACTGTTCTTATAGCTTCATTCAACATTAAAATAATAGGCAATATATAATCCCTGTGTATGGTCACTATATAAAATTATCACTTTATAAGTGACTTTAACCTGTAGAACTCCAGGTAAGAGTATCTGAAAGTTTTCATAGATCTTGAGACATTCTTCTGTTGTTTTCATTGGCTTTTGTCCACCAAATCCCAGTTGAACCTCACTTTTACCTTTCTCTTCACTGTCGTATCACATCAAAGTTCTCCTCATTCTTTTTAAAACTGCATTGTTGAAAAATTATATTTTTATTTATTTATTCAGCATCGAGTTTGGGATGACAGGGCAGAATCAGTGCGGATAAAGCCATTACAGCCAAACCTTCAGATGACGATCAAAAATACAATCTTGAATTAGGAACTTCTGAAGTTCATTTGGGAATCTGAATTCTAAGTTTCATGATTTTATTTCATTACTGCTAAAGGTAATGAAAAGAGACCCCAGTAACATCTTACCTATAGTAGTGACTGGATGTCTCCACAGCTTAATTCCAGACCCTGCAAAGCACTGAATGCTCTTAATTCACAGTAGAACCAAGAGATTTCAGGGATTACTTGCCCTCTTGCAAGAATATTTGCTTTTTTAAGCTAATAAATTTTACTTTTTTTTCTTTACGTTCTTGGTAAACCTTAATCACATATTTCCTTAAAATTTCGAGTCTATCATATAGCAGCATAACAATGTATTTACCATTTAAATAGTTTTATTTTCCTTTACCCTTTTTGAAAGCAGTTTTTAGATATCTATTATAGATTGACTAAAAAAAATCACAGAAATCATCTTTGTGAAACAGTAAAACACTATCATAACACAACTCAGTACCAGACTTGTACAAATAGTGTAATAAATCTATAGATATCACATCACTTCAATTTATTGTGCTGCTTCTAGAGAATAGCTAAAAAAAGATAAACTGTGATATGGATTTTACCACATGCACATGCAGTAGTAAATGGAATTTTTGATGTCTTGATAGTAATTCCACTTCGTTTTTTACTAAACTGAGAAAGAGAATGTTGCTTACCTTTGTCTCAATTTGTTTGGTGTCCAGATTCTGAAAAAGCAGTTTTACTCTTGTTTTGCCATCATCTGAAGAACCTTTGAGCTGAGAGAATTTAAACCTCCACAGCACATTCTAATGAGGAAGAAATTTGGTTAAGGATTCTGTTACACACTCTTACATAGAACTGGTGATCAATGTGTATTATTAAAATAAAGCATTAGGGCAATAAAATAGCACATGATAACAGGCTGTTTGCAGAGCAAATAAAATTAGCAGCCGTGTATCATATGTGAAAGCAAAAGGTGCAGTATTAATATCCACTAATTAAACAATTATTTAGAAATTATTTGAAACTTAAATATTTCAGTTGCTTATATAATATTGAAATCCATATCAAAAGTTTAATTCTAGAAAGATCCATGAGGATATTTGTATCAGTTTCACTATTCACAATTCCATATTATATCTCAACCTTTCATATTTCAGCTGGCTCATCTCCATAACGTAGATCGAAACATCTTACAGAGATGTTGCAAAACTGAATTTACTGATGTGTGTAAGGTGGTTTGAAATCCTCAGATAAAATAAACTGCAGAAATTAAAAAATCTTATTACTGAATGTAGTCTTGCAAACCACAAAAATATGTTCTACATTACATAGTTGTTTCTAAAATATGTAAGAATTCTACACTTCTTGGTCTTGGACAGATTTATGTGTGGCATGTTACTACTCTTGGCTAATCCTAGATTGGCAGGTATATTTCAACAGTTATGGAGATACTTCTGAAAAACAAATATTGGAAAATTATTTTTGAAGCTAATGTAATTTTCCATATTTATTTGAATGTTTTCTATTGATCTCCTGAAAATGTGTAAGTTTAAAAAAAACCCAAGTTAATAATTGGCATCTGGACTTCCTGCTG